AATGTGTGCTTGCAGCCGTTTCTGTATTACCTTTGTTGTTGTTGTTAAGTGCTGTTGAGTCAATTCTGACCCATAGCGACCCTGTACAGGGTTTCCGAGGGTGTAAATCTTTACGGGAGTAGAAAGCCTCATCTTTCTCCTGTGGAGCAGCTGGTAGTTTCGAGCCGCTGACCTTAAGGTTCGCAGCTCGATTCATAACCACTAGGCTACGCTACCAGAGCCATTTCTGTATTACCTTTAGAGAAATTTTTATTCGCATGGGATATCAAAGAGATTGCCAGATGATTTCCGCATTCTGTTGAGTCACCGCTCATTGGAATGGGCACAAATATGGATCTTTTCCAATCAATTGGCCAGATAGTTGTCTTCCAAATTTCTTGGCATAGAAGTGCCTCCAGTGCCGCCTCACTTTCTTAAAAGATTTCAATTTTTATTCCATCAATTCCTGGTGCCTTGTTCTTTGCCAATTCCTTCAGTACACGTCGGACCACTTCCTTTAGTATCATTGGCTCTTGATCATATGTTACCTCTTGAAACAGTTGAACATTAACCATTTCCGTTTGGTACAGTGACTCTGTGTATTCCTTCCATCTTCATTTGATGCTTTCTGCACCATTCAGTAATTTGCCCAGGGAATCCTTCAATAATGGAAGTTGAGCCTTGATTTTTTTCTTCAGTTCCCCCAGCTTGAGAAATGCTCAGCATGTTCTCCCTTTTGGTTTCTGACTCCAGAAAACATTTTGTTGTAATATTTGACTTTGTCTTCTCGAGCTGACCTTTGAAATTTTCTGTTCAGCTCTTGAACCTCCTCATTTCTTTCATTTGCTTTAGCATCTCTACACTGGTTTCAGTGTCTCTTCTGACATCCATTTTTTATCTTTTCCTTTCTTGTCTTCTTAATGATTTTTTTTGCTTTCTTCATGTATGATGTTTTTGATGTCATCCCACAACTCTTCTGGTCTTCAGTATTTAGTATTTAATATATCAAATCTGTTCTTCAGATGATCTCTAAGTTCAGGTTGAATATATTCAAGGTCATATTTTGACTCTCGTGGACTTGTTTTCATTTTCTTCAGTTTCAGTTTGAGTTTGCTTATAAGCAATTGATGGCCTGTTCCACAGTCTGCCCCTGGCCTTGTTTTGGCTGATGATACGGAGCTTTTCCACTGTCTCTTACACAGATGTAGTCAATTTGATTTCTGTGTATTCCATCTGGTGAGGTCCATGTGTATAGTCATCTCTTATGCTGTCTAAAGAAGGTATTTCAAATGAACAAATCAGTGATTTTGCAGAATTCTATCATGTGTTCTCCAGCATCATTTCTATCACCAAAGCCATATTTTCCAGCCACTGATCCTTCCTCTTTGTTTCCAACCATTACATTCCAATCACCAGTATTGATCAATACATCTTAATTGCATGTTTGATCAATTTTAGATTGAAGAAGTTGGTAGAATTCTTTAATTTCATCCTCACTGGCTTTAGTGATTGGTGCATAAATTTGAATAATAATGGTATTAACTGGTCTTTACTGTAGGCACATGGATATTATCCTATCACAGACAGCATTGTACCTCATGACAGATCTTGATATGTTCTTTTTAACGATGAATGCAACACCATTCTTTTCAATTTACCATTCTTGGCATAGAAAACCATGTGGTTGTCAGATTCAAAATTGCCAGTACTAGTCCATTTCAGCTCACTAATGCCTAAGATATCGATGTTTATGTGTTCCATTTAATTTTTGACAATTTCTAATTTTCCTAGATTCATTCTTCATACATTCCATGTTCCAGTTATTAATGGATGTTTACAGCTGTTTCTCTTCATTTTGAGTTGTGCCCTACACATCTTTAAGAAATGTCTTCCGTTCCTCTGGCCTTTCTGGTTTGGCCTCCAAGTCTTTTCAAGTGAGAATGTGCCACCTCATAAGGTTCTTGGTGGGGCTCAGGATTCCAGCTAAGACCCCTTGCTACACAAAGGCTTAACATGAAGCCTATTTCCCTGGGCAAGATCTAATTCCTCTTTTAGCTAATCCAATCAGTTATAGGCTGAATATGCTCTATTATAAAATGAAGCTTTCTGTAATCATATTTCCCAGTATTCCTTTCTGTCCCACTTAAATGTCTATTTTACATTAGAAGGCAGGGGAAAACAATATCCACAAGACAGTCAATCCTTATTTCTCCTCCTTAACCTGTTCCAACTGTGACTGAATACCTATATCATAAAACCCTGTTGTTCAAAATTTGTGTATATATCACCTCTATCCCATTTCCCTCCCTATCACCCCAGCTATTATGTGTCTGTCCTCTAACCTGTGAATTACTGATCCCTCCCTCCCACATCTGGTAAGCATGAAATAAATTTTCTTGTAGATTGGAAATCCTTTCTTAAGATTTTTTTTTTTTTTAATTTTAAAAATTTTATTTAGCTTTTATTTTACCCATATTCTAAAAATATAAAGGAAAACATGGATTAGATATGCTAAATTATTGAATGCACACTAAAATACATTAATATTAAGATGCATTATCTTCAACTACCCAGTCATTTTGCTACCTTTTGGTGAGCAGATAGTTGGTACCAGTCATCGTGAAAAAGTCTTTATTTTAAGAAAAAAAAATTGGTTAACAAGTTTCACTTAGCAAAATACACCCAAAAGGAAATCACAAAAAGTCAAGGCCTCACCAATTCCTGCACTGTTAGTATTGTGTTTCAGTTTTCAAAATTAACTTTTTTAAAAACTTAAAACTTAACCTAAAAAAATTTTAATGAAATCAAACTAGAATGAACATGAGAAGTGTTACTTTTTGGATTAGAGATCCAGCACCTTTGAGTTTTCCAAAAAAGCATGTCTCCCCAGTAAGTTTATTGTGATGTGGTATAAAAGATCCACATTTAACATACTTTAAGTTACTTTAACTCAAACATCACTCTGAAGTATACTACCAAAACACTGAGAAAAGCTGAAAATGGTTACCATTTACTCAATATCTTTGTCACATGCCAGAAGAAAGTTTGCATGAGAAAACACTGAAGAGGTAATTTTTTAAATCCAGATTTTACAAACTCATGGTGCAAAATGAGCTTTGTGTATGTATGTAATAACTGCTCTCCACTGCTTGTTGGCTGCCTGTGAAAATTTGACTGAAATAACTCAAAAAATGTTTCTTATAAAACTAGTCATATCTACCCATACTGTTTTGCTGGCCACTATAGCATGCCCCATAACAGCCACTCACTGACTGGCTCTCAAGGCCGATGTAAGTGGACTGGGTTGACACCCCCATGCCCTGCATCATTTAGCTAAAATAAGCCACATTGCTGGCCCCTGTAGTTGAATTCAAGAAGAGCTCTATGTATCTGTGCTGCGTGTTGGCTCTGTCTTTTGACATGGCGGTCACGGCTTCTTCATGAGTGGAAAAACTCAACATCTGCTTCACTGGTCACTCTTCCATCAGGGCCAAACTCAATATGTACTTCCATGGGGTTGAGTGGAGAGAAGAAGTTATAAATGTCATTCTCGGTTGCTTTGTAAGGTAACTCCCTCATGTGGATACAGTATGCAGTTGGGCTCTAGACAGCAAACTCACTGTCTCCATATCTGTGGTCATACATTCCCGACAGACAGTAACTGAGATCTCTTCCAAACAGATCAGTGGTAAAACCATAGCTGTTGCTGAGATCACTAAACTCCTCATAACCACCATAGCCTGTGCTATAGGCCCCAGACTTCATCCTGTCAAAGCCTGCTTGTTTGACAATGCCAATATATCTGCAGGCAATGCCAGGCCTGTCATAGGGTACTGACCACTGCACAGACATGAACTTCAGAGGGGGATCAGAGTATGAGCTCACTTGTTCCTGACTGCTCTTGAACATTTCAATATACCCAGACCCTATTCTTTCCTTGTGCTTCCCTAGTGCTTTCTCAGCTAATTCCTGTGGGGCAAACTGCACAAAGACTTCTCCTGTTGTCTTGCCCTTAGGGGCCACTGGCAAAGTGATTCCATTCCGCATGATTTCCAACCCTGAGAAGAACTGAATTATTTCTTCCTTTATGCATCCAAATGGATGCAGGGTTAATTAAGACATAAAATGGAAGTTGGCTTAGGTAAATCAAAGGAGATCTTAATTTATCTCAATAAGTCTACTCCCAACATCTCTCATCTGCTGCTTACTCATAATTTTACAGTTTGCTTTTGTTTCTAACTATGTTTTTCACTAGTACTGGGTAACAATAAAAGAAGAAGGAAAGCCTTGATTTAAAACTAGCAGCTTTGGATGTTAAGGTTCATTTTTGTAGATTTGTACTGTACTGGTCAGCATCCTTTAGGAATCTTCCAAGTCACATAACAGGGGGAAAAAGTTATCTTAAATAAAAGTAGCCGAATGAGAAGCAGACTTTATTGAGATAACTTTTCAGTCCATTAACTGAGAATCTTTTGTTTCAAATGATCTTTTATTTTGCAAATTACTCTATGTCTAGAGAGTTATGGATATCAGTGTCTTCCTTGACATTTTTTTTTTTTTTAACTTATGAATTCTAGAGGAAGTAAAAATGAGGTAAGTATTGGGGGACAAGTTTTAGGACAGAGAAATTATAAAGGAAATATTAAATTGGGAAACTTATAGAGGGCATTCTATGGGTTTTACAAGTTGGAAGTCGAATAGTTATCTTTGATAATGTGGAGAATTACTAAACATTTACTAAAAGAAGTATGCTTATAAATTTGAAGAAAAAAAACTACATTTATTGAAAATGATTTTGGTGTATGGCTCAAGTAGTGGTAATTGTTTAAGTCTCTAAAAATTATGAGTAATACTTAAAGAGAACAAGTAGCATTGAATAGCAATCCAGTCATTGGTAACCTAAGTACAAGGATTTTTGTGGAAGTGCTTTGTTACTGATTTACATGCTATGTATTGTTTTAATTTACTATCCTTCAGACATCTGGATTTGAGCTGCATCTTGGAATTTACCTTTACACACAATGACACTGTCAAATGGAGGTCCAGTTGGATACACACCCCCAGATGGAGGCTGGGGATGGGCAGTGGTTGTTGGAGCTTTTATTTCCATTGGCTTCTCTTGTGCACTTGGCAAGTCTGTGTCTGTATTTTTCAAAGAAATTGAAACCATATTCCATGCCAGCACCAGTGAAGTATCATGGATATCCTCCATCATGTTTGCTGTCATGTATGGTGCAGGTAAGTACCCACTAAGGAAGGCCTACTCTTCTAACTCTCAATAGATAGGTAAGTGTTGTATATTAAGTACTTTGCTCATGAGTGAGGTATTTTGAATGTTAATTATTGAAGCTGTGTAGTTGAACTCATGTCTTTCATTCTCGTTAAAAATAAAAGCTACACAGAAACTGTGTACTCTGTTAGGTCAGCTATAACATTATAAAATTATAAAACAAGAGCCTTATGAAAGGTAACTTAAAAAAAAAAATTTAAAAAAAAAAGTGTTTCCTGTCTCTTGCTGGTATCTTTCTGGTTTTCATGTTTTAATCATATTTTCTGTAACCTTGCTAAATTCTAAGTATTCACAATAGTTGACTGGTAATTTCTTCAGATTTTTTAGATAGATGAACATATCTTCTGCAATACTGACAGTTTGCTTTCCTCCTTTCCAATCCTTACAACTTTTCTTTTTTTCCTTGTCTTACTGCACTGGCTTGGACCTCCAGTATAATGTTGAAGAAAAGTGGTGTTGGTAGGCCTTCTTGTCTCATAATTTTGTTTTAGTTTTATTGCTGTTGTTTAAGCTTTTGTTGTGAATTGAATGAAAGTATACAGGGCAGACTATCAGTTTTCCTTTCAATAAATCGTATTTTGTTTCATTTCAACAATTACAATCCCCTCCATGTACCATCAGCCAACAGTATTTACCTCTACTCCCTTTTCTTTCTTTTTTTTTTTAATGTACACAGACAAAACCAAATATATGCACTTTGCAAGCCAGCCTCCTGATGGAGATATGCACAATCTTTCTCAGTTCATGGGCCTAGAGTCCTCAGCTGCTCTATGCCGTTGCTCTACTGTCAACACTTTTCTGGTTAGGAGCCCATGCTCCACTCATGTTCTCCTCTCTTGCTGGCCCTAGGGTCCTCTGTCCCTGAAATGAAAGATTAGATACTCCCCCATTGTAGTTACACATCTTCTACATTTACAGTTGTGACAATCACAGTTGAATCTTAAAATTCTATGACCATCCTCCCCAACTCCTTTTCACCAGACCCATCTGGAAAAGAGGAAAACTATTCAGTGGGGATTCTAACTTACCCACCTTGTCCTGAAGCTAAGCACACTCATGAAAGCTTATAAGCCAGCCACTTCATGCCTTTATAGCACCCTATTTTGATAGCCAATATCTAAGTTGCCCATCCCTATCAACCCAGTGTACTGAGGAGGCAAGCTTGATACTTGATATGAAGACTCCCTCCCTTTCAGTTGGAATTTTGAGCAACTACATCCATACATCCTCACCAGATGGAATACATAGAAATCAAATTGACTACATCTGCGGAAAGAGATGACGGAAAAGCTCCATATCATCAGTGAAAACAAGGCCAAGGGCAGACTGTGGAACAGACCATCAATT